CAAAGCCGGGGGGACACGGCCGGATCCAGGCAGTGCACAGGCAGGACACAGGCAGGGCAGGCAGGACACAGGCAGGACGTGGCCAGATCCAGACAGGACATGGCCAGAGAAGCCAGGGCACAGGCAAGGCACGGCCAGATGCAGGCAAGGGATGGCCAGACCCAGGCTGGGCAGAGGCAGGACACAGCCAGAGCAGGCAGGACCACATCCCCTGGCAGAGCCGGCAGGGCACAGCTCAGCACCCGCTCCCCCGGCCCCAGAGCCCCCCGTCTCAGTCCCAGCCCAGTGAGAGGGGTCCCAGCTCCAGCTCCACAGCTGGAACCTGGTGCCCCCAGGGCCGTTCCCCCCTGCCCAGCACAGCACCCCCGCAGCCTGCCCCCTTCTCCCCAAGGCCTTGGGGGGCACCCAGCGGCCCAGCATCACCCCGCTGACCCCTGCGCTCCACGCAGCCCCCGGCACTCACCGTCAGCCCAAGCACCAAGCTGGGGGAAGGCTTTGGATGATGTTCCCTGAGCTGCCTCCTCCGAAGGCAGAGGCAGTGGCTGGATTTAGTGTTCCAGGTCTCCACCGCTTGCCCAAACCCTTTTTGGAGCCATTTGGCCGCCCAGGATCCCGCTGTGCTGTGTCCCCATCGGTCCCATGCTGGCAGCCCGGCTGTCCTGGAGAGTTCCATGGCTCAGGGACAAGAATGGGACGAGGATGACACAAGACCCCCAGGGATGGGCAGGGGCCAGGGGTGCCTCTGGGGCACCACCACAAGTAACCACCTCCCTGCCCCATGCCTCAGTTTCCCCACTGCCAGCCGCTGTGCTTGCAGGCTGCAGTCTGGGGCACTGCAGCAAGAGTCAGACCCTCTGTGTGTGTTCCCCCACCCAGCAGTCCTGATTTGGGGGGGGGCATAACCCAGGACCTCCATGGCAAGGTCCCCCCCTGGGGTCCCATGGCACCAAGACCCCAGACCCCACCAGCTCGTCTCTTTTCAAGACTGTTAGCACAGAGGGAGCAGAGCACCAGGGAGAGGAGCTTGCCTGGGCTAGGGGACCTTGCCACCGCTAGCCGGGAGGTGCAGAAAGCCGGGGAGAGCTGGAGACGTGCCGTGCCGAAGGATGCTGGCACTGCCAAGGTCCCACTTCCCTGCCAGCAGACAGGACCTGGCACGAGACCCGCACGTGCCCTGGCACCGCCTGCACCCTCCTGGCTGCTGCTTTGGTGCTGCTGACAGCAGGATGATGGCAAAGCCTCCCTGGCCCCCATCTTCA